CATCCTCATCAATACATTGAGTGACTGTGGCATTGATGCCTACACAGTTGGATGGGTAAAAAATTGGCTGATGGGGTGCACCCAAAGAGTAGTGGTGGACGGGTCGTACTCAACCTGGCGAGATGTGAGCAGTGGGATACCCCAGGGCTCGGTCCTTGGGCCTGCACTGTTTAAAATCTTCATCAGCGACTTGAATGAGGGGGTGGAAAGCACGCTGTCCAAGTTTCCTACCTTGCTGGAGTCATCTGACCCCAGCAGTCTTTCCTGCCCAAGTGAAGGGGGACTGGACCTGATGATCTGTAAGGTCCCTTCCAGCCCCCAACATGTATGAAATATCTATGAAACTATTCAATTTACTACCTCTTTATTTCTTTTTAAAATTCTTCTTTTTTTCCTTGTTTTTATTTTATTTTATTTTATCCTTTAGTGTTGACTTCCTTCATTTCACATCCTCCCACACCTCCATTTCCTTTCTACCTATCATTTCATTACCTACCCCCATCCCATTAACTCTCTGCCTCCCAGCTTCATCTTCCTGCCTCCCCCCCAACCCATCTCTTATACACCTCCACCTAGAGCAGGGATAGAAGCCTATCCTGGCTTACCAGCCCTTTAGTGGCAATTCAGAGCTGTAGCTCCTAATATGGCCCCTACTTATCAGCCCTCTAGTGGCAAGTCACAGTTGAGTAGGTCAAGGACATTCAGAAAAGGTTAGTTTAACATTTAGAAACTGTTGTGGGAACCGTCGATCCTCCTGGATCACGGTGTATAGTCTTAACATATAACTGCTCCAAACTCAAGCTAGCATTAATGCCAATGAGCATTTTTTTTTTTTCATAGTTTTAGGGTTGGAAGGGACCTAATAGATCTTCTAGCCCGACCCCCCGCCAGGGCGGGAGAACAACCCAAAAACACAAACAAAACCACTCACCCTAAAAACAAAAACGGGACTCAAATGAGTCCAGCCAGGTAAGTATCCAGCCTCTTCTTAAAGATCCCCAGGGTAGGGGCCAGCACCACCTCCCTTGGAAGTTGGTTCCAGCTCCTAGCCGCCCTGACTGTGAAGTAGTTTTTTCGGATGTCCAATCTGTACCTCCTCTCCATCAACTTGTGCCCATTATTCCTTGTTATGCCAGCAGGGGCTAGGGGAAACAGCGTCTCCCCCAAACCCTTCTGGTTCCCCCTAGTGAGTTTATAGACGGTCACCAGGTCCCCCCTCAGCCTTCTCTTGTGGAGGCTGAATAGGTTCAAGTCCCGCAGTCTCTCACTGTAGGGTCTGCCCTGTTGTCCCCGGATCATGCGGGTGGCCCTCCTCTGGACCCTCTCCATGTTGTCCACATCCCTCCTGAAATGGGGCGCACAGAACTGGACACAATACTCCAGCTGCGGCCTGACCAGCGTCGCATAGAGGGGGAGGATCACCTCCCTGGCTCTACTCGAGATGCACCTGTGGATGCACGACAAGGTCCGGTTAGCCCTGCCAACCATGACCTCGCATTGTCGGCCCATGTTCATCTTGGAGTCAATAATGACACCAAGATCCCTTTCCGCCTCCGTGCTCTCAAGTAGGGAGTTCCCCATCGTATAAGTGTGCTGCTGGTTCCTACTACCCAAGTGCAGCACCCTGCACTTGTCCGTATTGAAACGCATCCTGTTCCTGTCTGCCCACCCCTGTAACCTATCCAGATCCTTCTGCAATCTCTCTCTCCCTGCTAGCGTGCTCACCTCCCCCCAAATTTTGGTGTCATCAGCGAATTTAAACAGGTTGCTCTCCACCCCAACATCAAGATCGCTGATGAAGACATTGAACAGCGCAGGGCCCAGGACCGAGCCCTGAGGGACTCCACTACCCACCTCCCCCCAAGTCGAATATGATCCATCCACCACCACCCTCTGAGTGCGACCCTTCAGCCAATCTGCAATCCATCTGACTGTGTAGGCATCTATGCCACAGTCGCCTAGTTTATTAATTAGGATGGGGTGAGAGACGGTGTCAAAGGCCTTGCTGAAGTCCAGAAAGACTACATCCACCGCGACACCTGTATCCATGGCCTTTGTGACCTGATCATAAAAGGCAATCAGGTTGGTCTGACATGATCTCCCCCTAATAAATCCATGCTGATTGCCCCTGAGCATCATCTCGGATGCCGGCCCATCACAAATGTGCTCCTTGATGATCTTCTCAAAGAGCTTCCCCAGGATTGAGGTAAGACTGACGGGCCTATAATTGCCCGGGTCCTCCCTTAGACATCAGGAGGCAATATTTTACGGTTAGGGTGGCCAGAATCTGGAACCAGCTTCCTAGGGAAGTGGTCCTCACCCCTACCTTGGGCAAATTCAAGAGGAGGTTGGATGATCACCTGTCTGGGGTCTTGTGAACCCAGCATTCATTCCTGCCTGTGACAGGGGGTCAGGCTAGATGATCTGTTCAGGTCCCTCCTGACCCTAGCTACTATGAAACTATGAAACTATACAGCACTTCATACACTCAAAACTTAGTTCCCATTGACTTAACTGAGGTGGTAAAATCAACAATCTCAGGTGCTACCTAACCCTGCAGGCAGCTAAATTCACTGCACGTCCTTCTCTTTATAGAGCTCTCTGGGTGCCCAAAGCCCTCCTTCTGCATGAGCCTAGAACTGCCGGCAGCTGGCCAACTCAGCACAGATCTTCCACGGAAACTAGGCATCCTACCAACTGAGTCCTCTGCAGGGCCCAACCCAGTAGGCATGATCTGAGGGCACTGGTTATAGAATCAGGCTCTTCTTAAAAGTTAGCTACACCCACTTTCCATTTAAACATGGCTTGAGAAAGGAGTGCCAAATGGTTAAAGCACTCCTCAGGGAATGGGAACTCAAGGTTCAGTGTCCTCCTCAATCTGAACTGGTTCAAACTCACCCTCCCAGCTCCCAGAAAACCTTCCAGTCAAAACAAATTCATTCCTACAAGCAGTTTCCATGAATCAACATTACACAATGAAAAAGGTTCAGCAACAAAATTAATAAACAATTTCAATTCACATTGAGATGGACCTATAATTTATAGAACTAATAACCCTTCTTTTGGTAACAGTAGTTATGTCTTTGCTTTACTGAAATGTTACAATGAAAAACAGATTAAAATATGACCCTGGGTCTGTAACAATTTTTAGATGTCTTCAGTCCAGTGTTGCCAGTCCCACTTTTCCACTAATTAATTTGTGCTTGACAAATAATTCATGAGTTATGTTTCTGTGTCTAAATCCAGGTTTATCAATTGCAAAAGCCCAAGAAGTGTTAGAAGCCATTAATGGTTTCTTTGGAGTGCAGTCTGCTAACAATTTAAAACCCGTGACTGTAAAATGCATATGTAAAATGTTAAGAGGCAAGGATTTTTGTCGGCAATGTTTTATTGGACCTACTGCGTGGTTTGGATAAAGTTAGACAAGTTTGCAAATACAAGGCATCTTTCACTGGGCCCAGTAAAAGATATTGTCATCGTTAACCTCGCCCTCAGCACACGCGTGTGTAGTGTGTTAAGAATGTCTCTGCACTTGTCTCCTTGTTTGAAACAAACCTGGAATTGAGCACGTGGCTCCAGGTTTATGCTGTGATGGTGAAATGTTAAGTTTTCCCTTTGGGCAGCAAAATGGGATAACGACCTGCTCCTTTGCCAAGAGCCTTGAGACCTGGGCATGAAAAGTGTCCTGCCTTCTTGTTCTACATTTAGCCTCCGCCTAAATCCCATGTTCCTCTACACTCCCCTTTTCCTGCCACCTCCCTTGGCCTCTCTGGCTGTAAACAGACGCCCGGTTTGATTTGCATCAGCACTTCGTGCCACGCCAAATGCAGACCTTGCGGATGGCCAAGTCAACGTCCTGCTTCAAGTATCCAGGAATTATGAGCAAACTTGGGCCTCTTGTGGCTAACTTGCCTAAAGGGCCATTTAAGCCTTGCTTGTAAGGGTCTGGCCTGTCGCGAGGGGAGTTGTGTCCCTGCCTAGCCGTCCAACTGGTGTCTGTCTGACACGTTCCCATCCCTCTGGCTTCCCCGTCCTCTCGCTGCGGCTCCACGTTTCCATCTCCCGCCCGGCCCGGCAGCAGCTGGCCAAGCAAGGCCCACAGGGTCCGGCGGGCGCCACGTGGCCGGCTCGCTGGTCAGCGGGGGCGAGCCCGCGAGGGGAAACGTG